GGGAAAGAGGAATTCCAGGAGGGGGTTGAGGATAACAGAAAATTTCAAAGAGGAGGTAGATGTGAGGCTGGGCTTGAAGAATGGGTAGAATATTTGACAGGTGGAGAGTGGGGGAGGAAAGGGATTAACTTAAACAGAACTTGGTGAGTCAAGGCATGTAGGTGGCGAAGTATGGGGCAAGTTCTAAGGAATCCTCAATAGTCGGATTTGGTTGGTCTCTCAGTGTGTACATAGAGAAGGTGGTCACTGGGGAAAATATGGCCCAGAAGGTAGAGAGTAAGAAGTTTAAACCTGATGCTATAGTCAATTGGTAGCCATTGAAGGGTTCCGAACAGATGGATTTGGGGAAGTGTAAGATTAGAACTGGAAACAGGAAAAATAATTAGGAGACACTGTTATTATCTTAAGAATCTGTGGCAGCAGTCCAAAGAAGGTGAAATTGGAGCCTTAACACGAGCTGTGGCAGGGGGATGGGAAGAAAGGAAGGAAAAAAAATATTGTGGGGAAAATGAAAGGACTTAGTCATCATTCGGAAGTAGGGAAGAGGAGCCAGTCAAGGCTTTCATCTCAATAAAAGGGACCAAGGCAGTCCCTTTCACCAAGAGAGGGACCACGCTGGGGAGAGTTACATTGTATTGATTCTGGATTTGAAGTGCTTCCTAGGCTATCTGTATAGAAATGTCCAATAGGTCACTGAAAATGTACGTGTGTAGAGCTCATGGCTAGAGATGGTGATTTGGGATCATCTGTAAAGAGGACATAGTTGAAGCTGTGAGGCAAGAGTTCACTGAGCTGGGACAGAGCGTAGGGGCAGAATAACTGAAGGTAGGAGTGTAGGAAACTCCTACAAGGCGAGGGTAGGATGAGTAGTCAGAGAGAGAGGGAGCAGTCCGAGAGGCAGGGGGAGAACCAAGGGAGTATGGAGTTGTGGAACACAAGGCACAAAAGAGCTTCCAAAAGGGAGTGCTGCGCGGTATCCTAATGGAGAGGTCAGGCACGATGAGGGGTGGCTTCTGAAAGAGCAGTTTCTGCCGGAAGCGCGGCATAGAAGCCAAGAGGCACAGGGCCGAGGAGCAGTGAGATGAGGTAGAAGACACACGTTACTCTTCTGAGAAGTGTGGCAATGAAAAGAAACCTGAAGATGGGGGGAATAGAGGATTGAGATACCACGATCAAGACAAGTTTTCTGTTGCTGCTGTTTTCCCTTAATGGCAAGACCTGAGACATGTGGACAGAAGGAAAGGAATGGTTAAAGAGGAAGCAACGGAAGATCCCGGAAGAAAAAGTAGTCAAGTGAATGAAATGCGTACATGACAGTAATAGGCTGGCTTTCCTCCGTTCTTTCCTGTTAGCAAACCGGAGCTGAGGAGGGCAATACAGTTTCTAGAACAATTTAAACAAGGAGTAGTAGAGTGCAAAGAGCACCGGACTCAGATTCTGGATTCCTGGGTTCTGATCTCAGCTTTGCTGCTTATTAGCTGTGTGACAGTGGGCAAGTCACTTCTTCTCTCTAGGCCTCTGTTTCCTGATCTAGAAAATTATCTCTGAGGGTCCCTCCTAGCTCTGACATTCACATGTCACCTATTTCGTGATGTTAACTTTGTCTCTTCCCTAACTTTCTTTCAGGTACCGTAGTGAAAAGATGACCTTGAGCTATGCTGAATACCTTGCTCATCGCCAGCATCATCATTTCCAAAATGGCATTGGGCATCCCCTTCCGCCATACAACCATTATTCCTGACACTGAGCCACACAACCAGTCACTGGGCCTCTCTGCAGACCTCTTCCCAGGAGACCCTACCCCTTCTTGGTCTAGCTATCTCTTTTACTGTACCATTTTATGATGATAGTTTCCGTTGCCATGGTGAAGCTTCGACATCGTCAGTTAAGATCATCATGGTAACGGGTAGGAAAATGGCATTTATTAAGATGATCCTGTTTTATTATTTTAGGTCACTGTTTTTTTTTTTTTTTGCAGCATATATGAATTTTGGGGTTTTCTTTCCTTACAATATTACATGGAGTTTTGCTTTGCTATCTCAGTCAGGTTTGTCTTTCTGTCCTTCTGGCCTTCCTTCCTGTCTTCTTTCCTTCCTTCTTTCTTCTCTTCCTTCCTTCTGTTGACTGTGGATGGAAGAAATCATGCAGTTTCTAAGGATTTCATTTAGGTGTTTCTTTCATTTTCCTCAGTAAGATAGGTAATTTTTGATAGCTGTGTTTGGGAGTAATTCATATCAGATTCAGGTATTTGTATATTACTCTTGAATTTGTCTGAAATTCATTTTGCTATGAGAGCTTAGTATGTGGGTCTTCACTGTTTAAGTATATGTTTTTCCCATGGTTAGAACAGATGAACTTTCGTTCTAGTGTAGAACATTCGAAGGTCCATGATGGGACTTGTCACAGAGAGTGAGAAATCATTTATGCCTATTGTGCTGGTTATCACAGGAAAAACTGCCTCATCACTTTATAGAACCAACTTACAAACACACTGTTTTAAGAAAGTACAAGCTACCTTTGAAATATGCTACAGAAATTATTTTGAAAAGCAGCGAATATCAGGAAGAGAGCAGATACAGAATTTAGTGCCTTTGAGAAGAATATAATTATGTGGAATTAAGAGGGGTTAGAAGAAAGGCAGTGTAGAGAAATATTCTTAAAAATTTTATTGTTTCTATAATGTGAAACAACAGATTAGACAAATTGCTTACTCTTAAGTATTTTTTTAAGCTGAAAAGAAATTATTTTGAGCAAATAACCAAAAAGAGACATGTGTCTATTATATATTAATTTAAATTTGTTAGCTTTAGGTTTCAATAAGTCATGATTGGCCAGAGACAATTTTAGCTACCATTTAAAGAAATAGTAAAGATAATCTAGTGAAACAAAAGTTAACACATGTCGTGATTTCAGACATGTTTGTCATGGGGACAATACTGGAGTTTTAGAAATACTATAAGATTGCTTGAATCTCTTTCTGCACTACATACTTTTGATAGAAACACATTTACTATATCGATAAGATGTTATGTTACCCCTGTAAAAACGGAGTTGGCACTTAGATACGATATAGTTGTTAGAGCCCAGCTCATTTGCAGGGCTAGTCTTCCCATGACGCATATGCAGAGAACTTCCTAATGTCAACGGGAGGTCTATATGTATATCCCCAGGAAAAATGACAGATGATTCTGGAGAAAGATTACCTTCATTTTATGGTAGTAAATATATATGTGTGTGTGTGTGTGTGTGTGTGTGTGTGTGTGTGTGTGTGTGTGTGTAAAGTTTTTTTCAAACAGGAAACAAATATTTCAAGTGATGAATATAAGTGTGGTGCAGAATATATAGTCTAAAACTATGAGATGTCACTGAATATCAAGATGGCATAGCTTATACATGTAGTTGCTGTGACAAGTGACAGACCGCTAGTTCAGAATTTGAAAACCCTTTTCTAGTTTGTGAGATTAATCGGCTGAATTCCTTCTGCTTGTCCTTATGGCAAAGCGAACTGCTTTTGTTTTTGATGAGAGTTCTCAGAAGTTTGTTGGTATTCCTTCGTCCGCAGCATCTGTTGTTGGAATAACCATTTTCAGTCGTGATGCCTTAACCAAGAAGCCAATTGTTAGCCTGAAATGGAATCTCGGTAGCCAGTTCCACTGAACCTAGAGATTAGTCAGAGAAAGCTAGCTGCTGGGCTTTAGAAAGGGATTTTGAGGCCTTTCATTTCTACTTGGGAGCATTTTGGAGCAGATTAGTCTTTCAGTATAAAAACAAGTGGCTACCTGATGGAAATTTTTTCTTGCCCTTATAGGGAAACTGAGCACAAGCTGAATGATATGAATGATATTGTCTGCTGCAAGAAAAAAAAAAAAAAGTAAATAAAGCAAGCAAACCGAAGAGAGACAAAATAGACCTATATTGATCCATCTTATCTATCATCTCATCAGTTCAACAGGCTCCTCGTCCTGGGTGAGCTCATGGTTAGAAGTTTTTTTTGTTTTTAAAGAAAAGATCTATTCCATACGTGTGTGTGTATACTTACAATACATACATATGTGTGTGTTTATGTATTTAACGGTGCTAATCAATTTTGAGCAGGTCACGTGACTGGTCATGCGGACTCTAAAATCATATCAGATTTTTAAAAATTCTTGATATATGCAGATGTTATACAGATTTTCTTACCAGTGTAATAATGTTATACTGAAGAAATAACCATCCTGCAGGCTTCAGAGGACGAGGTCAGCAATATTTCCCACCGTGGCTTGGGGGAAAAGGATAGTTTTGTCTCCTTTTGTGTTCAAATTAATGCACAGTGCATTTTTGTGTCTTAAGTAGCTGTGGACTAAAAGACTTTGTAGTGTAAAGGGTGTTATACAAACTTGTAATGGTGTGCTTCAAACAAATGCTAGACCCTTTCACCTTTGTCGTATATTACAAAGCTGTTAAATATGTAGTTTGAATTAACTTTGAACATGTTGAAATATGTAGCATGTGTTTTTAACTCAGACGAAGATTCTGACTGCACAGGTTGTGTTCTAGCCAGTTGTGGTTTATTTGTGCAGAAACACAAATGTGAATTGCACTCTTGTCACCAGAATATTGTGTAAGTTCAGTGATCTCTAAACAGCTCAGAAGTAATACTTGAACTTCATTTGAGTAGCACAAAGTTTACATAGCCCCCCCTTTTTAAATGTTAATTAGTTCCATTTATGTTTTCCGTTTTCAGATGCAACTGGGTATTTTTTTTCCTCTTGGAAAATAGTACATATTTTACTTTGGTATGTAGCAAAAGGCTTCCATTTCTGGAAGGGTTTTCTTGTTCTTAGAAAAGGTCAGCCAGGTACCAGATTCTAGAACAGTTGCCCCTC